TTAATGGTATCTTTTGTAGAACAAAAGATTTTTATTTTGATGTTCAGCTCAGTTTTTTCTTTTATGGATTGATTGATTATGCTTTTGATGTCAATACGTAAGACATTTTTGCCTATACCAATATCACAAATATTTTCTCATTTATATATATTTTTTGAGGAAGTTTCTATTCTTAGTTGGGAATAAATGAAAAAAATTTAAAAACACCTATTTGAATGGCTATTATCGAAAAGACGAGAGATAACAAGTGTTGGCAAGGATATGAAGAACAGGGAACCTTTGTGCACTGTTGTGGGAATGTAAATTGGTACAGTCACTATGGAAAGCAGTGTGGAGGTTTCTCAAAAAATTAGAAATAAGAGTATAATCCAACAGTCCCACTTCTGGATATATATCTAAAGGAAATGAAATTAGTATCTCAAAGAGATATCTGCATTCCTATTATTCACAATACCCAAGACAAGGAAACAACTTTATGTCCATCAACAGATGAGTGGATAAAGAAAATGTGATATCTGTCTGTCTGTATCCATATACACACACACTGTCGATCACAATGGAAAATTATTTAGCCATCATAAAAAGGAAATCCTGCTATTTGTGACAGCATAAATGGACCTTGAGAGCATTATAAGTCAAATAAGTCAGAGAAAGACAAACACTGTGTGATCTCACTTTCACGTGGAATCTAAAAAAGCTGAACGCATTGAAACGGAGTTGAATGATGGTTGCCAGGGGCTGGGGTGGACGGGGTGGAGGAAGTAGGAAGATATTGATAAAAGGAAACAAACTTCCAGTTACAAAATGAGTAAGTTTTGGGAATCTAATTTAGAGCATGGTTATTATCTTTAAAAATACTGTATTATACACTTGAAAGTTGCTAAGAGAGTAGATCGTAAATGTTTTTACCAGAAAAAAACCAAAGGTAATTAGATGATGGAGACGTTAATTAACCTTATTATGGTAATCATTTCACAATATATATGGGTAACAAATCTTACAGTAATGGTACATGTCAATTATATCTCAATAAAGCTGGGAAAAATAAGTGTATTGAGGATTAAAAAAGAAGCATTGTATTTTATCAAATCTTTTTTCCATCTATAGAGGCAAGGATATGGTATTTGCTTTTTACTCTGTTAATGTGGTATATTACATCCGTTTTTTGTTAAACCATCCTTATATTTCTGAAATAAACCTGGTTGTTTATGGCAGATGATCATCTTATATGATGTTGCCAGTTTCAGTTTGCGCATATTTTGTTCTGGAATATCTTTGAATCTTATCTTCATGAGGGATTTTGGTGTGTAATTTTCTTTTCTTACAAGGTCGTTGTCTAGGTTTGATACCATGTTAATACTGACCTGATAATATAAGTTGGGAAGCGTTCCCTCCTGGTCTGTCTTCTGAAAGGATTTGTGTAGTTTTGGTATTTTCTCTTTAAATGTTTGACAGAATTTACTAATGAAGCCATCTAAACCACCTAGGCTTTTCTTCATGGGAAGATTTTTTAATTCCTAACTCAGTTTGCTTTCTTCTTGAGTCAGTTTTAGTAATCTGTGTCTATCAAGGAATTACTTAAAGTGGAATTAGATTGATTTTACATTATTCTTCCTGTCTAATGTGTTTAAAACTATAATTTTCTCTCTTAGTACTGCTTTACATGCATCCCATAAATTTTGGTAGTTACATTTTATTTTTAATTCATTTTTTAGTTTCTCTTGGTTTCCTCTTATGTTTACTTTTCAAGCATTTGGTGATTTTCCATACACCTTTCTGTTTTGGTTTCTAATTTAATTTGTGGTTGGAGAAGATACTTTATGATTTTAATAATTTGATTTAATGATTGATGTGGTTGATTTTGTTGTTTTTCAGTAATGTGTCTCATGTCTTAACAGGCTTCTATTATATTTAACAAACATTTTTTAGTATACTATTTTAATTCCTCTGTTGATTTTTTTTTTTAGCTTTGAGTTATGTTTTTAGTGATTACTCAAGGGCTTACAGTATACATTTTTAACTAAATTACAGCCACAATTTCTGTAAAATATTGTTACCTTGCTCTAATATTTCTTCCTCCTTTTTTTCTGCTATTTTTGTCACATATATTTCAACTATATGTTATAAATCCAGTGTAATGCAATGTTAAAATAATGTTTTTGCTTTAAACAGTCTTATGTTTTTAAAAATATTAATTGAATAAAAGAGAAGCACAAACCCTATACAGTCTTGTATTTACCCACATATTTATCATTTTTAGAACTCTACTCTTTTCTCTGTATTCGAGTTAAAGAACTTTTTAAGAATATTTCTTGTGGCGTTGATGTGTTAGCAGTAAATTTACTCAGTTTTTATTTGTAAATATCTTTATTTTGCTTTTATTTTTGAAAGGATAATGTCACTGAATATGTAATTCTTGGTTGACATTTTTTTTCTTTCAACATTGGATACTCATTTGGCTGACATTGTTTCATTCTACTGCATTATTTCCCATCAGAAGTAAGCCTTAATTATCATGGTATTCTCTTGTATGTTTTGAGTTGTTTTTCTCTTGCTGCTTTGAACACTTCCAGCAGTTTGACTCTGAAAGTTTCTAGGTGTGTTTCTAGGTGTGATTCCAAAGTTTTTCTTGCTTGGGTTCATTGTGCTTGTGGTATCTATAATGTTTTTTAAAACAAATCTAGGAAGTTTTTTTATTGTTATTTTTTCAAATATTTATCTTGCGTCTTTCTCAGTTTGGACACTTGAGGTTGTCGCATAGATCTTTGAGTGTCTGTTTATTTTTCTTCTGTTTCTCTCTTTAGATTTGATAATTTCTGTTGATCTATCTTCATATTTAGATACTTTCTTCTGCCATCTCAGATCTGCTCTTGAGCCACCTAGTGGATTTTTCATTTCAATTATTGTACTGTTCATCTGTAGAGTTTTCATTTGGTTATGTTGTTATAGTTTCAGGTGTCTGTTGAGATTTCCTATTTGTTGAATCATTGTCCTATTTCCTTTAATTCTTAGAACATGGTTTCCTTACATTTTTTGGACATGTTTGTTATAGCTTTTTTGTTTTTGCCGTACGCGGGCCTCTCACTGTTGTGGCCTCTCCCGTTGCGGAGCACAGGCTCCGGACGCGCAGGCTCAGCGGCCATGGCCCACGGGCCCAGCCGCTCCACGGCATGTGGGATCTTCCTGGACCAGGGCACGAACCCGTGTCCCCTGCATCGGCAGGTGGACTCTCAACCACCGCGCCACCAGGGAAGCCCTGTTATAGCTTTTTTGAAGTCTTTGTCTGCTAAGTCCAACATCTGGGCCCACTCAGTTTCTTGTGACTGCTTCTTTTTCTTAAGTATTGATCACTTTCCTGTTTCTTTTTATATCTTCTAATTTTTTGTAGCATCTGTATATTGTTTTCTCTTTCATGTATGTCTCTTACTATTCATATTTGATCATGTTCGGACAACTTTTAATTTTTTAATTGTTTATTTCACTGGGGGCGTGGTTGGGATAAATTTTTTTGTAAGTAATTAATTTATTTTTATTTATTTATTTTTGGCTGCGTTGGGTCTTTGTTGCTGCACGCGCGGGCCTACTCCAGTTGTGGCGAGTGGGGGTTACTCCTCATTGAGGTGTGCAGGCTTCTCACTGTGTTGGCTTCTCTTGTTGCAGAGCATGGGCTCTAGGCGCGTGGGCTTTAGCAGCTGTGGCACATGGCTCAGCAGTTGTGGCTCATGGGCTCCAGAGCACAGGCTCAGCAGCTGTGGCACACAGGCCTAGCTACTCCGCGGCCTCTGGGATCCTCCCAGGCCAGGGATAGAACCTGTATCCCCTGCAATGGCAGGCAGATTCCCAACCACTGTGCCACCAGGGAAATCCCATATTTTTATTTCCCCAAATAGGTTATACGCCTGTTGTGGATAGGAACTGTATCTTAAGTAAGGAGGATCTACCATGCTTTAGTCCTGATTTCATGATCTATTTTTAAATACTTAACTCTGCTGAATTTTCTTCAAAAAGGAAAAACTATATTGTATTCTATTAATCTCTGCAGAAGAACTATTGGAACCTGCCTTAATTTCCAGTCAAGGACAGACTTGATGGGACTTCCCTGGTGGTCCACTGGTAAAGAATCCGCCTTACAATGCAGGGGACGTGGGTTCGATCCCAGGTCAGGGAACTAAGATCCCACATGCCACAGGGCAACTGAGCCTGCATGCCACAACTACCAAGTTTATGCACCTCAACTAGAGCCTGTGTGCCGCAAACTACAGGGCCTGTGCACTCTGGAACCCATGTGCCCTGGAGCCTCCACGCCACAACTAGAAAAGGGAAAATCCACACACCATAACTAGAGAGAAGCCCACACACCTCAGTGAAGATCCTGCTTGCTGCAACTAAGACCCAACACGGCCAAAAATAAAATTAAAAATTTAAATAATAAATAAGTCTTTAAAAAAGAAAAGGTTTGCCGACCAAAAAAAGGTCAGAGCTGTTTATTTAAACTAACAAACAAACAAAGGACAGACTTGATAACTAATACATGTGGGGAGAGAATACATATGCATTAACTTATTTGTGAAACTCAAACTCATTTCCCAGTGTTTCCTAAGTATTTATACTCTGTGTATGTATAAATTGACAGGCAGAGGCTCTGTAAACTTTTGGAGGCCCATCTAGAGAAACAAATGTGTTTTACTTCCAAGAAATAGGGTAATAACCATTAGTAATCCATTGGTATTAGTAATTAAGTTACATTAACTCCAAGAGACCAGAGTTTAAAACGTTCTTATTCATTTAGACCACTATTCTTCACATTTATCATCGTTATTACTATTATTATAGTTTGTTGAAAGTAAATAGAATAAGACATTAATATTCTGCAAAGTCTATTTAAGATACATAATTAGGGAAAGTTTGGACACTATATATGAATAGAATTTTTTAAATCACATACTTCTAAAGACATGGTTTTGTAAATTCTTTATTCTTATTTGTTTTCACATTTTTAGATATGCCATTGCATTGGCCTTAAGGGAAAAACAGCGTGTAATATTTACTAGCCCAATTAAGGCCCTGAGTAACCAGAAATACCGTGAAATGTATGAAGAATTTCAAGATGTTGGTCTGATGACTGGAGATGTTACTATTAATCCTACAGCATCTTGTCTTGTTATGACCACAGAGGTAATTTATATGGTGTCTCAATTTAATTAAATTAATTTTCCTTTTAATTAATGTGGTTATTCAGTTAAAACAGATAATGTTTTATTACTTGCTCTGTATCAATAAAAATGTAACATTTTACTGTCTGAGTAGATTTACTTGAAAGGGATAGAGTTCATCTTAAAACAAGTTCTAGTAATTGAATTTAGTTGTAAATTACCAATATTTCTGTTATTTGTCATAATATAGATGCAGTTTTTTCTTCACAAAATATTTTTAAAGGTGTATTATCAGTGACTTGAAAATAATTTGATGGTTTTGTATAATTTCAAGGATTTCAGTACATAGTTTCGAATATGTAGTGGCTCCTTGTTCTGTGTGATTTTTTTTCTTCTGTATCTGAGTGTTGATACAAATAGATAACTAACTTTTTAAAACACCCAGTTATGTTTAGCTTCTTTCCATAATCACAGTTAAGTTTTGCATATCTTTGTAACATCTTACATTTTGGACACTATTAGCTGTCTTTACTAAGTATTTTTGTACATGCTTGAATTATATCATTGCATTCTACAAAGACATGGTACACTAGAGAGCGTAAATTAGCTTCTGGCTTTTAGAGTTACCCAAAAGCATTGCTCACTTTTCATCTTGGTGCCTAAAGTAAGTTTATTTTCCATTCTCAAAACTTTCTTCCATCCGTGAAAGATGTCTTTAACTCAGAAATCAGAATAACGGTTGTTAGAAAGTATTCATACTGGTAAGATGAGGTAGAAAAAATGGATAACAGTATAAGATCCATTGTGTTAGATAGAAGATAACTTCAAGTTATTCTCGTATTCTAGCAAGTGTAGGTCTTGGGTTAAGTGCTGTACATGCAAGGAAGTAGCTTCTTATTCAGGATATATGGATATGGAGATGATAATTGTTTCCATGGATTATATCTGATTACTTACTTGAGAAGTCATTTATTTTGAATTTAGGGAAGGAATATTATGTATTTTAGAGATATGTATCTCCCTAAAATTATTTTAATCTTTCCATTAAAAAAGAATATCCAAAATTTCTTGTTAGATAGAAGAGCTTTTGGTATGTCAGAATCCTGCTAAATCTTCTCCTTTTTCTTTAGATTTTGAGAAGTATGCTGTACAGAGGTTCTGAAGTTATGCGAGAAGTTGCTTGGGTCATATTTGATGAAATTCATTACATGAGAGATTCAGGTATATTCTGTAGTGTTGTTGAGATGTGAGCATGTATTTTATTTAAGAATGGCATTAGGTAGGGCGGAGTCAAGATGGCGTACTAGGAGGATGCGGAATTCGCATCTCCTCACAACTAGGGCATCTACCAGGTACCAGTGGGGGACCATGGACACCTAAGGGACAGGAGGAAACCCCAGTGACTGTGTAGGATGTGGGGCGTGGGGGGAGTGAAGTGGGAGGAGAGGTGGAGGCAGGACAGGACTGGCATCCCTGAGGGGCGGCTTGGGGAGGGGAAGGGATCCCATGCCCAATGCGGGAAATTGGGGAACCATTGGGAGGGCAGAGGATCAAAAGGGATCATGGCCAGGTTTCCCCTGCCCAGCTGGACCCCCAGGAACCTGTTGAGATACCGGGCCTGATCCTCTGCCCACCTAGTCTCCCTCCAGCCACGTGGGTCCTGAGGGAGTGGGAGGGAGGAAAGGGGGAGCAAAAGTAAAGGCCGGACCTCTGGGATGGCACCCCTGAGGGGTGGCTGGGGGAGAGAAGGAGTTCCTGCACCCAGCAGGACCCACCCACGATTAGGGGTCCAGTGGCAATGGGGGAGACCCCAGGGGAGATGGTGGGGGAGGGGCGCGAAAGAACAGAAGGGAACGGGGCCAATGCTTTCCCTGTCCACTTAGGCACCAGGAAGCATTTTGGGCTCCCGGACCTAATACTCTGCCCTTGGAGCCTCCCATCTACAGCACAGAGCCCAAGCCCCACCACTATAACCCCAGCCAAGGCCCTACTTCTGCAGTCGGAGAACCCCTCCAACGAGCTGGGCCTAAACCCCACCCACACACCCTCAGTCAGGGCCCTACCCCCTAACTCCTGAGCCCCACACTCCAGAGGCCCTCCTTTCGACATGCTGCCTCTCCCCTTCTACACAGGCCCCACCCCACCCTAAACTCTGCCACTACCTAAGTTCCACCCCCTACCTAAACTGTGCCCGCATAGCCAAGGCTTTTTTTTTTTCCTTTTCCTTTTTCCTCTTTTAGATTGGGGTTCTGTTTTACGTTGTTAATTCGTTGCTGTTGATTCTTTTCTATTTTTATTTTTCCTAATAAATCTTTTATTTTTCTAATTTTATTTTATTCTTTATACTTTGTTAGTGATCTCTCCTTTTGACTTGTTGTCCACCCCCCTTTTTTTCCTTCTGCTGTGGTTTTATTTCACCTTGTTGCAGTTGTTTCAATTATAGTTTTATTTTTCCTAATATACCTTTATCTTTCTGATTTTATTTTCTTTTATATTCTTGATATTGTACTGCTCCTTTTTCCTTTCTTCTTTTTTTTTTTTTTTTTTTTTTTTTAACTGCACCATGAAGCTTGCAGGATCTTGGTTCCCAGGCCAGAAGTTGGGCCCAAGCTCTTGTGGTGGGAGCTCCAAGTCCAAACCACTGGACTAACAGAGAATCTCGGACCACAGGGAATATCAATCTGAGTGAGGCCTGCCGGAAGTGCTTATTGCAGCATTAGGAACCAGTTCTATCTAACTGCCTGCAAACTCCAGTGATGGACATCTCAGGCCAAACAACCAATAAGACAGGAATGCAGCAGCACCCATCCAAAAAACAAGAAAAAGAAATGGCAAAAGAATATGTAACAGACAAAGGAGTAGGGTAAAAACCTACAAGACCAAATAAATGAAGATAACATAAGCAACCTATCTGAAAAGGAATTCAGAATAATGATAGTAAAGATGATCCAAAATCTCGGAAACAGAATGGAGAAAATACAAGAAACAACAAGGACCGAGAAGAACGAAACAGCAGACAAGCAGTGATGAACAACACAATCTGAAATTAAAAATACTCTAGAAGGAATCAATAACAGAATAATTGAAGTAGAAGAACGGATAAGTAAGCTGGAAGATAAAATGGTGGAAATAACTGCCAGGGAGCAGAATAAACAAAAAGGAATGAAAAGACTTGAGGACAGTCGCAGAGACCTCTGGGACAACATTAAATGCAGCAACATTCGAATTATAGGGTTCCCAGAAGAAGAGATAAAGAAAGGAACTGAGGAAATATTTGAAGAGATTATAGTCAAAAACTTCTCTAACATGGGAAAGGAAATAGTCAAGTCCAGGAAGGACAGAGTCTACCATCTGGATAAACCCAAAGAGACACACTGAGACACATATTAAACAAATTATCAGAAATTAAATACAAAGTAAAAATATGAAAAGCAGCAAGGGAAAAATAACATACAAGGGAATCCCCATAAGGTTAACAGCTGATTTTTCAGCAGAAACTCAGCAAGCCAGAAGGGAGTGGCAGGACATATTTAAAGTGATGAAAGGGAAAAACCTACAGCCAAGATTACCCTACCCTGCAAGGATCTCATTCAGATTCAATGGAGAAATTAAAACCTTTACAGATAGGCAAAAGTTAAGAGAATTCAGGACCACCAAACCAGCTTTACAACAAATGCTAAAGGAGATTTTCTAGACAGGAAACACAAGAGAAGGAAAAGACCTACAAAAACAAACCCAAAGCAATTAAGAAAATGGTAATAGGAACATACATATTGATAATTACCTTAAATGTAAATGGTTTAAATGCTCCAACCAAAAGACATCAATTGGCTGAATGGATACCAAAACAATACCCATATATATGCTGTCTACAAGAGACCCACTTCAAACCTAGGGACACGTACAGACTGAAAGTGAGGGAATGGAAAAAGATATTCCATGCAAATGGAAATCAAAAGAAAGCTGAAGTAGCAATTCTCATATCAGACAAAATAGACTTTAAAATAAAGACTATTACAAGAGACATAGAAGGACACTACATAATGATCAAGGGATCGATCCAAGAAGAAGATACAACAATTGTAAATATTTATGCACCCAGCATAGGAGTACCTCAATACATAAGGCAAATACTAACAGCCATAAAAGGGGAAATCAACAGTAACACAATCATAGTAGGGGACTTTAACACCCCACTTTCACCAATGGACAGATCATCCAAAATGAAAATAAATAAGGAAACAAGCTTTAAATGATATATTAAGATGGGCTTAATTGATATTTATAGGACATTCCATCCAAAAACAACAGACTACACATTTTTCTCAAGTGCTCATGGAACATTCTCCAGGATAGATCTTATCTTGGGTCACAAATCAAGCCTTGTTAAATTTAAGAAAATTGAAATCATATCAGATATTTTTTCCGACCTCAACACTATGAGACTAGCTATCAGTTACAGGAAGAAATCTGTAAAAAATACAAACACGTGGAAGCTAAACAGTGCACTACTAAATAACCAAGAGATCACTGAAGAAATCAAAGAGGAAATAAAAAAATACCTAGAAACAAATGACAATGAAAATACAGCGACCCAAAACCTATGGGATGCAGCAAAAGCAGTTCTAAGAGGGAAGTTTATAGCAATACAATCCGACCTCAAGAAACAAGAAAAATCTCAGACAACCTAATCTTACACCTAAAGCAATTAGAGAAAGAAGAAGAAAAAACCCCTGAAGTTAGCTGAAGGAAAGAAATCATAAAGATCAGAAATAAATGGAAAAGAAATGAAGGAAACAGTAGCAAAGATCAATAAAACTAAAAGCTGGTTCTTTGAGAAGATAAAGAATATTGATAAACCATTAGCCAGACTCACTAAGAAAAAAAGGGAGAAGACTCAAATTAACAGAATTAGAAATGAAAAAGGGGAAGTAACAACTGACAATGCAGAAATACAAAGGATCATGAGAGATTACTACAAGCAACTGTATGCCAATAAAATGGCAAACCTGGAAGAAATGGACACATTCTTAGAAAAACACAGCCTTCTGAGACTGAACCAGGAAGAAATAGAAAAAATAAACAATCACAAGCACTGAAACTGAGACTGTGATTAAAAATCTTCCAACAAACAAAAGCCAAGGACCAGATGGCTTCACAGCCAAATTCTATCAAACACTTAGAGAAGAGCTAACACCTGTCCTTCTCAAAGTCTTCCAAAATACAGCAGAGGGAGGAACAGTCCCAAACTCTTCCTATGAGGCCACCATCACCCTGATACCAAAACTAGACGAAGATGTCACAAAAAAAGAAAACTACAGGCCAACGTCTCTGATGAACATAGATGCAAAATCCTCAACAAAATGCTAGCGAACAGAATACAACAGCACATTAAAAGGATCATACACCACGATCAAGTGGTTTATCCCAGGAATGCAAGGATTCTTCAATATATGCAAATCTGTCAGTGTGATACACCATATTAACCAAATTGAAGGATGAAATCCATATGATCATCTCAATAGATGCAGAAAAACCTTTTGACAAAATTCAACACCCATTTATGATAAAAGCTCTCCAGAAGAGAGACATAGAAGGAACCTACCTGAACATAGTAAAGGCCATATATGACAAACCCACGGCCAACATCATTCTCAATGGTGAAAAACTGAAACCATTTCCTCTAATATCAGGAACAAGACAAGGTTACCCACTCTCACCACTTTTATAGTTTTGGAAGTTTTACCCACAGCAATCAGAGAAGAAAAAGAAATAAGAGGAATCCAAATCAGAAAGAAGTTAAACTGTCGCTCTATCCACACAACATGATACTCTACATAGAGAATCCAAAAGATGCTGCCAGAAAACTAGTAGAGCTAATCAATAAATTTGGTAGAGTAGCAGGGTACAAAACTAATGCACAGAAATCTCTTGCATGCCTATACACTAATGATGAAAAACCTGAAAGAGAAATTAAGGAAACACTCCCATTTACCACTGCAACAAAAATAAAATACCTAGGAATAAACCTACCTAAGGATACAAAAGACCTGTATGCAGAAAACTATAAGACACTGATGAAAGAAATTAAAGATGATACAAAGAGAAGGAGAGATATGCTGTGTTCTTGGACTGTATGAGTCAACATTGCGAAAATGACTGTACTACCCAAAGCAATCTACACATTCAGTGCAATCCCTATCAAACTACCAATGGCATGTTTCACAGAAGTAGAACAGAAAATTGCACAATTTGTATTGAAACACAAAAGATCCCAAATAGCCACAGCAATCTTGAGAAAGAAAAACAGAGCTGGAGGAATCAGGCTCCTGGACTTCAGACTATACTAGAAATCTACAGTAATCAAGACAGTATGGTACTGACAAAAACCAGAAACACATATCAATGGAACAGGGTAGAAAGCCCGGAGAAAACCCCATGCACATATGGTCACCTTATCTTTGATAAAGGAGGCAAGAATATATGATGGAGAAAAGAGCATCTGCAATAAGTGGTGCTGGGAAAACTGGACAGCTACATGTAAAAGAATGAAATTAGAACACTTCCTAACACCATACACAAAAATAAACTCAAAATGGATTAAAGACCTAAATGTAAGGTCAGACACTAAAATTCTTAGAGGAAAACATAGGAAGAACACAATGATATAAATTACAGCAAGATCGTTTTTGACCCACCTCCTAGAGAAATGGAAATAAAAACAAAAATAAACAAATGGGACCTAATGAAGCTTAAAAGCTGTTTCACAGCAAAGGAAACCATAAACAAGACCAAAACACAACCCTCAGAATGGGAGAAAATACTTGCAAGTGAAGCAACTGACAAAGGATTAATCTCCAGAATATACAAGCAGCTCATGCAGCTCAATATCAAAAAAACAACCCAATCCAGAAATGGGCAGAAGACCTAAATAGACACTTCTCCAGAGAAGATATACAGATTGCCAACAAACACATGAAAAGATGCTCAACATCACTAATAATTAGAGAAATGCAACTCAAAACTACAATGAGGTACCACCTCACATCAGTCAGAATGGGCATCATCAAAAAATCTACAAACAGTAAATGCTGGAGAGGGTGTGGAGAAAAGGTAACCCTCTTGCACTGTTGGTGGGAATGTAAATTGATACAGCCACTGTGGAGAACAGTATGGAGGTTCCTTAAAAAACTAAAAATAGGACTACCATATGACCCAGCAGTCCCACTACTGGGCATATACCTTGAGAAAACCATAATTCAGAAAGAGTCATGTACCACAATGTTCATTGCAGCACTATTTATAATAGCCAGGACATGGAAGCAACCTAAGTGTCTATTGACATATGAATGGATAAAGAAAATGTGGCACATATATACAATGGAATATTACTCAGCCATAAAAAGAAACGAAATTATTTATAGTGAGGTGGATGGACCTAGAGTCTCTCGTACAGAGTGAAGTATGTCAGAAAGGGAACAAATACCATATGCTAACACGTGTATATGGAATCTAAAAAGGAAAAACCAAGGTTCTGAAGAACCTTGGGGCAAGAGAGGAATAAAGACACAGAGGTAGAGAATGGACTTGAGGATATGGGGAGGGGGAAGTGTAAGCTGGGAGGAAGAGTGAGAGTAGCACTGACATATATACAGTACCAAATGTAAAATGAGATAGCTATTGGGAAGCAGCTGCGTGGCACAGGGAGATCAGCTCGGTGCTTTGTGACCACCTAGAGGGGTGGGATACGGAGGGTGGGAGGGAGATGCAAGAGGGAGGGGATATGTGGATATATGTATGCATATAGATGATTCACTTTGTTATGCAGCAGAAGCTAACACAACACTAAATCAGTCATACTCCAATAAAGATATTAAGAAAAAAAAAGAATGGCATTAGGAATTTTGAACAAGTAGTTGTTGATCTTCCATGTGAGTAGAGTTCTTATAAACTAATTTGTGGATAACATGATGTGCTATTTCCAGTAGGATCTCATTCAGTTACAGCTTCTTAAAAAGTAACAACTTCTGGGTGAAAAAATGCAATTTCACATTTTAAAAATGGAATTAAAATTAGTTCCCTCTAATAGAGAGCTCTCTAGTATAACTAATGTTAAAGAATTTCTAAAACTTCTAGCCTACAAAGTTAACATTCTTGATTTTTATTTATTGTTTTTTTTAAATAAGTGCAGTTTATGGTAAAAATAAAATGAGGATTATGAAATAAAAAATGAGCAAAAAATTTATCCCTTTACTTGAACTTTTGCACTACTGTAATGGAAAAGTAAGTTTACTTGGAATTTTGGGTGGAACTTGGAGGGCGAAAGTTAACAAACACATTTAAAAGTTAAATGTTTAATATGTACACACTTAAAGCTTAGTTTTTATTTGAATTAAAGCAGTGAGTTAATCTGTATTCATAGTGAAAGTAATAATACAAGTTAAAGAAATCATTTACCCTTTTTAGAAATTTCACTTTTGTGAAATTCATAAGATTAGGTTCTAAACAGTTATTTTGGTTTTTAAATCATGAATCCTGTATTGATTTGTTCATTTATGGGAGGGAAATTCTCACATGGATTTTTCCATTTTTTTTCCATCTGACTTATAGTTTTGTTGTTTATCAAATCTTTCATCTCTGGAGATCATGATGGTAATTTAGATGAACGATGCTATATGCTGTAGTAATGGTGTTTCTTTGAAATTTGTTACTGTGACTTTCTATAAGCCAACAACTTATGCTTCTCTAAGTGAGATGGAAATACTGTTTCCATTGTCCTGGGACTCTTGTTAGGCTGTTTGAACAGGATTCAGTTTGGCACTGCTTTTTGCAGGCTGTTATTTCAGAGTACATTGTGTTTATGCTGGTTTAGTCTACTAATTTTCTACTAAATGAATTCATGGTTAGAACTAAAGTAGTTTACAGTAAGGGTCTGTGGCTAAAAATATCCTTGTGCAACATGGTCTGTATTTCTAATTATTGAGCTTGAGAGAAAATAATAAAGTAACATTGAATTCCAAGGTGTATTTGTATTTTTCAGAGCGTGGTGTTGTGTGGGAAGAAACTATTATTTTGCTTCCTGATAATGTTCACTATGTCTTTCTTTCGGCTACTATTCCAAATGCCCGGCAGTTTGCTGAATGGATTTGCCACTTACACAAACAGGTATTTTCTTTCCCTTTTTTGATGTTTTCCATATTTAAAATGTTACAAGCTGGCCTTACTATATCCTGTACTTCGTTCCTGATGCTGCCTAGAATAAAGACATTTTAATGTGAAACTACTTTTTAAATCGAGCAAGCTTATCAAAATCAACCGACTAATTTTTTTATAAGTGTGAATTTTCTGAGTCCCATCTCAAACCCAATACATCAAAATCTCTGGGAGTAGGGTCTTGGGTTTTGAAACCTTTAACTTTTAAATGCTCCCAAATTGATCATGATGACCTGCCAGGTTTGGAAACTATCTATTCATACAATGAACCATGAGTACACAGTAGAGAATTTTCTCTAAGACCTCGGTACTGGGAAAAAGCTGGGCATTTTCTGAGAGTGTGAGTTGATTGTTTTCATGTGAATGCAGACTTTTTACTGACTGTATTTTCTTTTTGTTTTTCTAGTCTAATTTTAGCAGCATTAAAGGACCTTATAACAAGCTTTTGTTCATGTGTACTAAATTTATTCTTGGTTTTATTTTTCTGCCCTTATTTTTCCTTTATACCAGAATGCTGAAAATTTATTTTTTATCCATTTATAAGCTCTCTAATGGCATTTTTGTAACATCATGTTGCTTCTGTAGGATAGAAACACAGTGGATCTTCTGGAGGAGTTAGATCAACCTGCTCTTTTAGTAAAGCTTTGAAAAGTCTCTGGGCTAGAAAAGTTCTATTTTACCTCAGGGAGCATTCTGTGTCACCATTACTGCTGCTACGGAGAAATTGAAGTCTTCTTTAATTATGGCATCACAGGTCTAGGGTATGGATCCAAGATCATATGGAAACTCAAATCATGTATTGATATTTATCCCTGATTAGGGAATTAGTAAAATTGAACAGATGGTAGTATAATTTGATAGACCTCATTTTTCCCCATTTTTCTCTTCCTGACTTAAGGGTTTTTTTAAAAAAACTTTTTTCTTTTTGAAATGTTGAATTCAAAAATTTGTCTCCTTAAGGTCTTTTAGGTAGGTCATATACATGGTATTATTTTGAAGAAATAAAATATATGGTTAATTACTTTTCTTTGTTTTTACAGCCTTGTCATGTAATTTACACAGATTATCGGCCTACTCCATTACAGCACTACATTTTTCCAGCAGGGGGAGATGGTCTGCACCTTGTGGTTGATGAAAATGTAAGGGAGTAATTATAATTCTTATATCTATAATATCATACTTTGCTGTTTATAGCCATTTTTCTTTAAACTAGAGAAGAATGGCAGAGATCCGTTTTTTTCTTAAGTAGTTTTGTGGTCCAGAGTTATTGTTGGTTTTTTGTGTATGTATTTTTATTTCAAAAATTATATTTAAGACTTGTATTTTTTAATGCATGAATTAGATTTCCTTCCTTTTCCAGTATTTTTTAAATGCCTTGAGAATAAGGGACTCTGGACATGTTTCAGATATCTTATGTTTTGCTTTTCCCAGTTATATTATTATATTAAATTATTTATTATTTGAGGAAGCTTTGTTTTGAGGTATGAAAAAATATTTGCATTATGATTAGATATTAAGTTACACAGAAAAATTTTGTGATTCCAGGGTGACTTCAGAGAAGATAATTTTAATACTGCGATGCAGGTACTTCGAGATGCTGGTGATTTGGCAAAAGGAGATCAGAAGGGGAGAAAAGGAGGAACAAAAGGTAATTTGGAACTTTGTTTTAAGAGAATTTTACATGTAAATTGTATTTTCAGATTACATTTTTTGGGGTTTTTTTATTTAACTTTTTTCCCCTCAGGGGGCTGTATAAAGATCTAGATAGTGTATGATAAAATTGTGTGAATAAAGTTTTAATCTCTTTTTCCTCTATGACATTTACTGAGATATAGTTCATATACAATTCACCCATTAAAGTATACAATTCAACAGTTATTAGTCCATTCACAGAATTATGCAGCTGTCCCCACAGTTTTTTTTATTGAGATACAATTCACATATCATAGAAGTCAACATTTTTAAGAAGGGTACAATTAAGTGGATTTTAGTATATTCACAAAATTGTGCAACTACTATCTAATTCTAGAACATTTTCATTAACGCAATAAGAAACCCCATACCCATTAGCAGTCATTCTTCATTTACTCCCAACCTCTTCCCCACCACCCCTCAGCCTTAGGCAATCACTAATCTACTTTCTATTTCTATTTTCCTTTTCTAGACATTTCATATAAATGGAATCATGGTATATGTGGTGTTTTGCAACTTAGCTTGTTTTCAAGATTCATCCATGTTATAGCATATGTCAGTACTTCATTCTTTTTTATAGTCAACATTCCATTGTACGATTTTACCACATTTTATTTATTCATTCTTCAGTTGATGAACAGTTAGGTTTTCAACTTTTTGATTGTTGTGACTAATGCTGCTGTAAACATTTGTGTACTACAAGTTTTTGTGTGAACGTGTTTTCTTTTCTCATGAGAATATACCTAGTGCAATTGCTGAGTCATATGATAATTCTATGTTTAACCTTTTCAGTAACTGCCAAGTTATTTTCCAAAGTGTCTGCCCCATTATACATTGTCATCAGGAGGATATGAGGTATCCATTTCTTCCACATCCTTGCCAGTACTTTAATGTAGCCTGTCTATTTGATTATGGTCATCCTAGTATGTATGAAGTCATATCTCAGTGTGGTTTTTATTTACATTTCTCTGTTGGCTAATGAAGATCCTGTACTTACTGGCCATTTGTTTATCTTTGGAGAAATATCTATTCAAATCCTTGGCCCATTCAAAAATTACAGTCTTTTTGTTGTTGAGTTGTAAGGATTCTTTTATGCTCGAGATACTAGACCTTTATTAGATATCTGATTTGTAAATATTTTTTTCCATTCTGTGAGTTAGAGTTATCTTTATTGTTGGTGTCTGTTGAAGTACAAAAGTTTTAAATTTTGGTGAAATCCAGTTTATCATGTTTTTTTTTTTTCTTTTGTGGCTTATGCTTTTGGTATCATATCTAAGAGTGCTTTGCCTAACCCAACATCATGAAGGTGTACTCCTATATATTTTTTAAGAGTTTTGTAGTTTTAGATTTTACATTTAAGTCTTTAATCCATTTTGAGTTAATTTTTGGATATGGTTTATGTACCTTTTTTGCAGGACCATCAAATGTGTTCAAGATTGTGAAGATGATTATGGAAAGAAACTTTCAACCTGTAATTATTTTCAGTTTTAGTAAGAAAGATTGTGAAGCCTACGCACTTCAAATGACCAAATTAGATTTCAACACAGGTACTATATAATTTCAGTATAGTTTTAATGTTACGTGAAAATTAGCATAAATATATTTCTGGTAAGACATTTTTGTGTATTGTTAGAATTTGCAGTTCACCTTACAGTTACAGCAGTAGTTACATCACATTTGTAAAAGCTTTAAGGCCCTCAATTTATCATTTCTTTTCCTTTCTTCTGTCTTCTTTTATTGGAAGGTAAGTATAATACATTGTTCTATATAAAACCCAAAGACCCCTAGTAAGAAATATTAGACTCATACCTTCTTATACTTCATTGCCATAGCTCTTTGGTTATTGTGGTTTTCTGTCTGATAACTTAAGGTTAGTCTCTTGGTCAGACTACCTTCTGTTATGTTTCATTCTTCTAGAAATCCAAACTGGGAAGACCTGCCCCTGTACCTAACTGTGGTATAATTTTTGAATAAAGTAAAATAACTTCTAGCAAATGAATATATTATTCTCATTTATTAACTGTAAATGTAACCATTTAAAAGTCACACAGCTAGATAGTAGCATAGCCTAGGCAAAAATTGCAGCATGCCAAATACCAACCCAGTTGTCATTCATTTCGTCCTTTTACATATCTGATCCTGTACAGTGAGAAGTAAATAATATCTTCAGTCATGCAGAATCAAATTTCAGTTGTCTTGTTTTCTTTATCAAGGCACAGAACTAATCCCATGATTTTAAAGCTAATTTTTACTTTTCCATGGGTAAAAAATAACAAATGACAGATAACCCATATACCCTCCTAAAGCCAATAATGTATATATTTTTTGACTGAGTGAATTGCTCTACTTAGAAATGTTTTCTTATAACTACCAGTGCTGTATGTGCTTGATGTTGCAGGGTTATATATTGATAAAGTCAACAAATATTTATTGACAAATAGTCACTTTATAAGAAGGCAGTGTAATGGTTAAGAGCATAGGCTTTGGAATTGCTGACGTAACGTTAATACCAATGCCCATTATTTGCTCAATGCCTTACTTTCGTTAATAGTAATAATAATCCCTGTGTCCTGTAATTTTTTGACTTAAATACTGAATGTAGATACCTAGCGTAGTTACTGTTACTGCTTTTATAAGATAGTACTTTTTACTCGTGGACTAACTCTGCTAGATCTGTTTTGAAAGGCAATGAATTTTATTAAATAATTATGTAGAAAATTTGATCTGCTTTACCTTCTGCGTATCTAAAATAATGAGTCTTTACTTTTACTCTTTATAGACTCTTATTCTTTGCAGTGTGTGAAATTTGTTATCACTGACTCATTTAGATACTTATATACCCTTGGGTTTTCTCTCTTAGATGAAGAAAAGAAGATGGTTGAAGAAGTATTCAGTAACGCAATTGACTGCTTGTCAGATGAAGATAAAAAGCTCCCTCAGGTGTGTGTTTTATGTCATTAAGTAGACTGTGGCTATTAACAGATAGTGTATATTCACTTTGTATTTCCTGGATTTGTTACTATATTATATATTTCACTGTTTGCACACTGCAGTAAATATGTTGCATTGTGCACTGAAATGATACCTTGATTCTTATTTTGAACTTCTAAGAAGGTGACAAAAGGAAACATTTGCTGCCTTGAAGAAACTTTTCTCTGAAAGCTAGCATGATCTGGAAATTACTGCTTCTGTTCCTAATACTACAAAATTTTTAATGCTAATTTGAAGTCAGTGAATTTCTTAATTCATAAGGCTACCAAACAAAACAATAGAGCAAACCTAAGTTTAATGAGAAATTTGATTTCTACTTTGCTTTAATTAATTAAAGTGGTTTTTTCTTTTGACTATTAGAATTGCCTTAGGAGTTCTAAAATATACTGATGTCTTGTTGCCACTCCAGAGATTCTGATTTAATTGTCTGGTGTGTGTCCTGATCGTTAGAATATTTCAGAAACTCCCCTGGTTGTTCTAATGTGCATCCGAAACTGAGAACTAATGCTTTAGCCCAACCTAATACTATATGATAGTTTTATTTTGTGAAAAGAAAAATTGGAAGGTCATACTCTGCTTACAGATGTTTGCTTTGATTTGTGTGGGATTTATGATAAGACTGCAATTGCATGTTTCTTGGTATTTAAAATGGTATTTAATTTATGAAATCTTATTGTAATTTTTCTTTCCAGCTGAATTATTAGTATCTAAGGGCTGAGCCATGTCTTTATACATACTTGTTATCCTAGCACACTTCTAATAGTAAAATTTAATGGTATTTAATAGTGTTAATGAACTCTTCAGTAATTCATTTGTTTTTAGATAAAGTACATATTTATATTAAATATGCTTTATAGTTATTTATTTTCTTTTGGTTTGAGTTGGCTAGTATTTTTTTTTTTAATTTATTTATTTTGGCTGCATTGGGTCTTCGTTGCTGTGCACAGGTCTTCTCTAGTTGTGCCGATCGGGGGCTACTCTTCATTGTGGTGCATGGGCTTCTCACTGCAGTGGCCTCTCTCGTTGTGGAGCATGGGCTCTAAGCACGCGGGCTCAGTAGTTGTGGCTCACGGGCTTTAGAGCACAGGCTCAGTAATTGTGGCTCACGGGCCCAGTTGCTCCGCGGCATGTCGGATCTTCCTGCACCAGGGCTCGAACCCGTGTCCCCTGCATTGGCAGCCGAATTCTTAACTACTGTGCCACCAGGGAACTCCTGGGTGGTATTTTTTAAGTTTATTTCATGCAGATGCAAACTTTGCTGTCATAACCTTTAATTTTTTTAGAGGAGATGAAGTAATGCTGGAAAATTTGAATGAGGAAGCAAAACATTTATCAAGTTTATTTATTTAAACATGCCTTTCATATTAAAGCTAGGACAGAATTTTATTGTGTTTTAAGTTTAATTGTGGGAATATGGGTTTGCTTTCTAGTTTTTCTGGAAAAGTTATATAAAATTTCTTAAAACAGCATTCTTTCTTGATTACTGATTTTTCTTAATTTTGTTAGTTTCACATTTTAAAAGTTCTTTTCCTCACATCTTTTTAAAAATAAAATTGAATCCAATCGTAGGTTGAACATGTACTTCCTCTCTTGAAGAGGGGCATTGGTATTCACCATGGTGGTTTACTTCCTATTTTGAAAGAAACTATAGAAATTCTCTTTTCTGAAGGATTGATAAAGGTATGATTTTATTTTATTTATTATGCCCTAAAATTGTGTTATGTGAGCAGTTTGAAAGTTATCAAGAACACTGTTTGTAGGCAACTTTTTTTTAATTGTTATTTAAGTAAGTCGAACAGAACGGCTTAGGTAATGAACTTATTTTTGTATACAGTGTTATACTTCATAAATTTTGGACTATAGGTAAAAGTCATTTGTTTCTTTTCCTAGTCTTAAAGTAAGAAATGGTATCATTACTGAATACAGTGTAGAATTTTCCAGAAGGTGCTGTTTAATTTTCAGACCTGAAGTTGATACTGTAAGTGGACTCCATTCTGTATACAGATTAAAAGGACTAGTTTAGAGAAGACAAGGAGAATTGCTGTTTAGACTTATGAAAGAGTTTTTAGGATGTTCTCATTTAAACCAAAGAGAGTCTAATTTAATTTTTAATATTATGTTGATGCCTGTACCCAGTAATGGGATGTTGAAAATGGGAAACAACTCCAAAATATAGTTGTAAGCCTGTATATGACTCATAAATTATTTTATGTTTAAAAATCAGATTAGAGATTTGTCATGAGAACTTCAGCACTAACTAGGATATTTAAAAGAAATTTACTCACCCTAAAGACCATACTTGAGGTATTTTAGATAAAGAATTGGTCACTATTTGTACCTGGGTCCTGGTAAGGCCCTGTTGATGTCCTCATATAGATTGCATGTTTTGTTGAGACCCATTTTAAAGAATCTTTTAAGTGATACTTGTGGATTGTAGAATTCAAATAGAATAACTGTACATAAAGTGAAAAATTAAAGACCACCATTGCCCTTTACTTCCTAGAAATATCCACTAGGATACATACAAATAACATTTGATTTAATTTGTAAACAAAAGTGATTATATTACCCACATTATTCAATTTCTTCATATGCATTGCTATTCATTCTTTTTAACAGAGGAATAGCATTCTGTTAAGTTGATGAAATAAAGTGTTTTTATATTGTTGCCTATTGATGAAAATTTAGATTATTTAACAGTACTTCAGTGACTTAACTTGTACACATACCTTTGTGTGCTCTTTGGTAAAGTCTTAGATGTGAACATAAAGTGCCACTGATTTTGATCTCCCCTCAGAGATTTTAAAGGTGTCTCTAAAACCACTGCATCATCAATGAAGAAACCAGGAAATGAGACTGTGTTTAGAAAAATATTCTCCAGCCTAATAATGCTTTGTCCATTAGACCAGTAGTAGTCTCTCCAAGTTACCACCACTGGAGTTACGGAAAGAAAGACTATTTTCCCTGAATTAAAAAATTTCTGGGATCCAAGGGACATTAAATATTATAATATAAATTTAATATACATAATTATATGTAAATTTAATAATTTTGTATATAAAATACTGAAATACACCTCGGATAGCGTGTCTTATTTTTGTAAAATTTCATTAACTAATTTTTTAAATTAATGATTTATTTATACTTGAGTAATTTATTAACAAAACTAGTTTTTCAGTTTAAAATATGTGTTTAATTGTATACTTATTCATTTAGGCCTTATTTGCCACTGAGACTTTTGCTATGGGGATTAACATGCCAGCTAGAACTGTTTTATTTACAAACGCCCGAAAATTTGATGGGAAGGATTTCCGATGGGTAAGTAAAATAATTCATATATTGAAATAACTTTTAACTTCAGTTGTTTTACCCAAGATGATTTTGGCTCATGTAGTCTTTGAGATTTTCAGTTCTAAGTACTTTAAAACTTGTACCTGAGCTAATATGAGTAGTTCATCAAAGTTAAATTTCAGATCCTTTATATTTCTGTCCTTTAGCCAAAAACAAAAACCAAAAAGTAGGTGAAAGAGTTTAGTGATGAGGGATAAGTGTGCAAATGAGTCATGAATGCTTTAATGCATTTAAAATATGTCTAGAATTTTTATTTCTTCAAATTTTAAGTTATTTAAAGCACCTCTACTATAGTGGCTACAGTTGTAGCTCACTGTTTTACTCTTTAGGTTTAAAATAGAGATTTTTTTTTTTAACAGGTTTGCACATATGTCTTTCCTAAGGCAAAAGTTGGGATCATGAGTGAAATGGTGAATTGGAGTAAAAATAAATCCTTAATCCAGAAGCAAGTAATTGCTTCTTACCAAACTTAAACTATGGGCCTAGAGCTATGGTAGATACTGAGGATGCTAAATTTAAAACAAAACCAAACTAATCCCTACTGTGAAGAGACTTAGTGCAGGTGGAAGTTTATTTTATGGGCTCTGAGAAGTATGTATAGGAAGGATAGAACACAAGAGAAGAAGTTACTTGTATATAAGTGGTCATGGAGGCGTTATAGAGAAGGCCTCTATGTTTTGAGAAGGCCTCAAAGTTTTGAGAAGGCCTCAGAAACTTTCTGTAACTTGTGACTTTTTTAAGTCAAAAGAAGACTATTTCATGTAGAATATAATTTTTAATTGCAAAGTGGATAAAGTCTTCCATATGTTTTATATTTTAAGTTAATGTAAATTTTAAAATTCTTCATCATCAGTTTAAAATTACTTAATTCTTTGAATAAAACTGATGCTACAAGAAAATAAATAAATAAGTTTTTCGTGACTTTACATGCTCCTTGGCATCCAGTGGACCCCAGGGAAGGGTATGTAGTAAAGTGGGTAATTGAATTTAAGAAAACAACCATTTCTTGATGATTCAAGATCCTAATTATGAAATCTAAAAATCATAATGTGTCAAAATGTAACAATGCCCTTGAGTGCTGTTGAGATTTTATTGGACTGCCTTTTTGAAATGTTCTTTTTTGATCTTTAAGGTTGGTCCCAGGTCGTTAGGTCTGTTTTTGATGCTATCAGTAATATGCCTTCTAGTAGCACAGTGGTTTGCAACTCTTCTTGAGTCAAACATTTTTTGAGAGTCCGAACATGCTGGACCCTTCCAACAGGAGAAAAGTACACATGTACTTACAGATAAAACTTTGCCCAGTGTTCAGGTGGTTCAATTTTACCCTGAAAGACTATGCATGGGAGACTTACTAACCTTTCTCCCTTAGGTGGTTCTTAGTGATGAATGGACTCTTCTGAATGCCAAGGACATACAGTGAGAAAATAGAAATTGTGCTTTTTGTATGTGTTGATTTTTAATCTCATTTGGAAATTAAGAAAATTTGTTATGATAAAGACAGAATTGGTATTTAATAGAGTTTGGGTCATTGTTTGCTTTCTTAAACTTTCCTGTTTTCCAGAATATCTAGTTCAAAGATATTTTTTATGCCAGTGAATTAGCCAGTATTTCTCTATAGCTATTTGATCATTTTGGAGCTAAAATTTAGTTTTGCAACATTATTCTTAAGTGTTTTGCATTTTTGTCTTTTTACTTAAACTTTCCTAAAAGTTCATGTTTTTAATCTTGTTTCCTGTCTTGGAATGTGTAGCTTGTGCTTGTGAACTTGATATGATATGATAAGAATAATTTTAAGAATATGTTTTTCACCAGGTTTTCTCCTAAACTTTGCATTTTTAATTACGTTCATTCAGATTTCCTCTGGTGAATACATTCAGATGTCTGGTCGTGCTGGAAGGAGGGGAATGGATGACAGAGGAATTGTAATTCTTATGGTAGATGAAAAGATGAGCCCAACAATTGGAAAACAACTACTTAAGGTAACAAGTTAAGCTTCTGTGCCTTCACCAGGAATTTGAGAAACATACTTCAGGACCACATTGAAATTAATTGTGTCAGTTCAAATACCTCTCTGAGTAGATGAGTTAATTTTCTAAACTATCTGGGCTTAGGAAGGTGGAAGAGGGTAACTGCTCAAATTGCTGATACTTTGTACCCTACTTTCTGTTCTAATAGGAAAAGAGCAAGTCGTTCAGTGGAGGGGATGGAGATCTGCAGAGGGCAGAAATGTTTACTTTGCCCTCCAAATTTGAGATACCTCTATATCTGCCCACTCCACTGCACAAATCGCTTCTCACCTATCAGCGCAGGAAGTAGGGCAGATATTATCAGTATTGTGCACAGTTATCTTCCTATACCTTTGCAAGCCCAGATAGCTTAATGAATTAGTTCTACAATCTACCATTCTAATTCATCCTGTTGAGAGATTATAATATCCCAATAATAAATTTATAAGCTTTATTTCAAATTAACCTGTTCATTTTGCTTGCTTAATATTTGTGTTTTGGATTGTCTAAGATTTTTGTTTTATTTTGAAGAGCTTCTCAAAGAAGTTTGACCTACCTGATTGCTTTCCTTCTCCTTCTCCATGTATTGATAGTAAGGAATTATTAAGCATATCCATAGAGAACACTATCAATAAGATAGGAAGCTTAACATGAATTAAAATATAAAATTAACTGCCAGCTGATTAGCTACTTAAAATAATCTTCAAAACATGTTAAGACATACATAGGTTAATATCTCTGAAATATACTGTGTTCAACTTCTAAGACTTAGGAACTGCATGGAGAATTTGAGATATGGTTGTAGGAAGCCTGGTAAGCTGAAGCAAAAATAGGTAAAGTTCTTTTTTCTTTTTTTTATTTTAAATGTTTTTATATGAATAAAGACAAAGCTTATCTGTACATATTCATAGTGATCATATGGTGTCTTATTTTCAGTTTTAAAGATTAACACTTGGAAACCCATCTTCAAGTGTCCATATAACTTTAGTTCTTTCTTTTAGGGAAATGGTCAAGACTGAAAATTTGTGTTAGTCTTTAAATTTTGTCGCATATAATAAACACTATTTTTCTTACCTCGTACTCTGTGTATGGAAATAATCGAGTCAGGAGGCAATATTTTAATGGCAGCATCTGGTTCCTTTAGTACAGATTTTTTCATTCCATTTACTTGACATCTCTAGATTTGTTACCCTGTAAGTGTAAATTTCTATTGTCTTTCATTTCATTTAATAAAAGGGTTTTTAAATTTTATTGTGCAAAGAACATTTAAGATGAGATCTACCCTCTTAGTAAATTATTATGTGTAAAATATGTTGTTGACTGTTGTATAGCAAATCTCTATTTATCTCACTTGACTGAAACTTGATGCCCTTTAATTAGTAACTTTCCAATTACTCCTCCTCTCAGTCTCTGACAACTACCATTCTACTCTTTAAATCCATGAATTTGACTATTTTAGATACCTCATATAAGAGGAATTATGCAGGATTTGTCTTTCTGTGACTGGCTTGTTTCATTTAGCATAATATCCTCAAAGTTCATCCATGTTACATATTGCAGAATTTTCTTCTTTAAGAGTAAATAGTATTCTGTGTAGTTACAGTCCTCCCTTGGTATTCTCAGGGGATTGGTTCCAAAACCCCCATGTATACTAAAACACCAAAATGAGAGGATGAGCATGTCTCTTACATAAACAGCACAGTACTTGCTTATAACCTATGCACATCTTTCGTATACTTTAAATCATCTCTAGATTACTTATAGTATGGAATACAATGTAAACGCTATTTAAATAGCCGTAAATACAGTGTATATAGTTGCCTGTGCTGCATGACACATTCAAGTTTTGCTTTTTGGAACTTTCTGCAATTTTTTTTCCCAAGGATTTTGCGAGCCACAGTTCATTGAATCCTCAGATAGGGAACCCGAAGACACTGGGGAACGGCTGTATAGCCATATTTTTTAGCATCAAATTGGGATACTGTAATACTGAAAGAAGAGACTATTAATAATTATATCAATATATCAGGTATAAGTTGGGGTTGTCCTGGGGTCACTTGGATACAATGTTAAAATGCTATGTTGAGTTTAAGGTGATGGAGAATTCAGGTAGGTGTATTCTACAGCAGTTTGAATATAGAAGCAGAGCTTGAGGTTGGAAATAAACATTTGCAATATTGAAGCCCCACATTTCTTAAAGGAGGTAATAGTAGAAAAGAAAAATAATAGAATAGTAAAAAGTTGGTCTGTTTGCAAAATTATGAAGTAGCTGAAGTTGTCTTTCATTCCTCTCTTCCCCAAGAATGTGATTTTCATACTAACTCCACATATCCCTTTGGCCCTATTTTCAAGGAAAGTGGATAAAAAATAAGGTTTTAGGGACTTACTAACTAACCCCCTAGGGTAAATGGCTCTTGATTTTTCAGGAGTTAAGGAATACCACCATTTGAGACTGTTGAAAGTTCTGCTCCTTCTCCTCATAAAATCATATATTCATACATTTATAATTCTGAATGCAATAAGGCTGGCTTATGAACCTCAATTTAAAAGCCTCTGAATACCCTAACAGTGTTTGTGTAGTTTGCTATGCCATTTAAAGATTTGCATGTTTTGTGACACTTCTAAATATTTCAGCATGTATCTCCCAAGAATTTGGTCATTCTCATTTGGGCACTACATAACAATTTTCAATCTTAGGAAGTATTTACATTTAGAAAAAAGTATTCCTGGGCTTCCCTGGTGGTGCAATGGTTAAGAATCCGCCTGCCAGTGCAGGGTACACAGGTTTGAGCCCTGTTCCGGGAAGATCCCACATGCTGTGGCGCAACTAAGCCCGTGCGCCACAACTACTGAGCCTGCGCCCTAGAGCCCACGAGCCACAACTGCTGAAGCCCGTGCACCTGCAACCCATGCTCCTCAACAAGAGAAGTCACCGCAATGAGAAGCCTGCTCACCACAACGAAGAGTAGCCCCCGATCCCTGCAACTAGAGAAAGCCCGCAAGCAGCAAGGAAGACCCAACACAGCCAAAAAATATATATTAAAAAAAAAAAAAGGAAGGAAGGAGGGAGGGAGGGAGAGAGAAGAAAAGAAAAGAAAAGAGAAAGTATTCCTGAAGAAACACTGTAAGAAAAGTTTAGATCTCAAGGAAGTATTTTGGACATAAACCTTGTTGCAAATTAAGGTCACACTATTGTAACTAGCCCTTCTTTGGTAACAGCCACAATTAGGAGGAGAAAGAGGAATTACCAAAGTGTTGACAAAGACTGGTCTGTAAATTTTGGGGAAACATTTAGGCAGTTTTATGTCATTTCAGGAAGCTGAGAGTTTCAAAATAATTTTTTCTGAATGTCATTCTGAAATAAATTTAGTGTGCTCTATTAGCATAGGCCAGGTTATACTGCAGTAACAAACCTAAATCCAGTAACTTAAAGGTTTGTTTCTCTTTACTTGTTCATTGCACGTTTACAAAAGAGACTATGCTTATTATTGTTTAGGGATTCAAGCTGATAGAGAAACCACCATCTTGAACATTAGCAGTCACTGTGCCAGCAGGGAAAATGTAGCTTTTCACACCAGCAGTTAAATATTTGACCAGGAAGTGATAACATCACTGAAACTTATTTGCCCTCCCCACTGAGGGCAAAATGTGTAATCCTGTCAAGTACCTAGAAGGCAGAGAGCTAAACATACTTGGCCAACAGTATTTTAACTGCCACTGTCCTAGTTGGTGTTTTTTTTCCCTCCTTCCTTCACTTTCCCAAAGATCAACTGTTTTATCACTTTGTATTGGTCATTTAAAGGAAAGAACTTAATACATTTCTGTAGTATTCCTTAGCGAAGACTAAACTGTTAAGCAGTTCAGGAGGTTAAAAATATTGTTATGAATTTATTTTTAAAATCTATAACATTGACATGTTTTTTTCTCTCAGGGCTCAGCTGATCCACTAAATAGTGCTTTCCATTTGACCTACAACATGGTCTTGAACTTACTACGAGTAGAAGAAATAAATCCTGAGTACATGTTGGAAAAATCCTTCTACCAGTTTCAGCATTATAGAGCAATTCCAGGAGTAGTAGAGAGTAAGTATAAAATTACCCTAGCAGCCTCATTTAGCTAGGGTAGACCAAATAGCAAAATTACGGTGTCATTGACTGCTTTAGCTATTGGTTTTTTTCTGGTAAGCCAAATCATTGTAACCAACTAGAACATTTTAAAAGAAAACACTATCAGGACATAATTCTATGGTTAATTCAAATTTAATATAATTTATTGTTATAGACATATCACATGATAATTCATATTCATGAATAATGATATTCAAATTAATATAATGCTTTCTAAAGTCAAAAAAGTAAGTGTTCTATTGTAACTGTGTTCAAGTAGAATTGTGTGTTGATCCTTATTCTAGAAGATCGTGGCTGATTATCATATAGAACTGATTAAAATCTAAAACAGAAGCAAAGATTTAAAATTCTGGTTTGGGTAAATCTTATAAAAACAATGCATAGTTGTAAAGAAAAAAAAACCCAAATTTTGCAAAAGATACAAAGGAAATTTAAGACCATTTGTAATCTCACACAGACAGCCACACAACCACTGCTAACACTTCATGGTTCTTCCATCATTTTTATTTTTCATACGTATTTTTCATATTTTTTTCAAAGTCGGGATTAACAATGTTTTGCTAATAACAACGATGTTATTATAGTTGATATCATTTGTTAAACATTTATCATATGGCTAACCTTGTGTTAAATGCTTTACATTAACTCACTGATTCTGGCTTTTTTAAATTTAATTTCAATTATTCTTTGAAAGTATGGTTTTTAATAACTGCATAATATTTTCATTTTATGAATGTACTATGATTTATTTAACAATAAAGGCAAATTTGAGATATCTTTCTGTCATGGATAGGATACTACCACTCAATTTTATGCACCTGAAAGTAAATGAAGTGTAATAATATACCTTAAAAAAATGAAAAGGCTTGGAACATCCAAGTAAGTTAAATTCTCATTTTTTTTACCCTTACCTGGATGACATCATAATTATTTCTCTTAATTTCTTTGGTCTTAATTAAGAGAGCTTCTTCATTACAAAATATAGAGCTGGAAGAAGCTTTGGCATCATTTTACAGGTGTAAAAAAATAAGGCATAAGAGAAGTTAAGTCTGTATATAAGGTTACACATTTGATTGATGGCAGGTTTGACTTGGACTCCAGTTCCTAACTAACCCATGCTGTTTTTATTAAAGTGTGGGTCATCCCTTTTTAATATGACAAGAATAGATGTAGTAACTTCTCTGGCTGAAAAAAAGAAAACAATGAAAAAAATTCTTGGGCTTCAGTGGCTCAGTGTTTGAGAGTCCGCCTGCCGATGCGGGGGACTCGGGTTCGTGTCCCGGTCTGGGAAGATCCCACATGCCACGGAGCGGCTGGGCCTGTGAGCCATGGCCACTGAGCCTGCGTGTCCGGAGCCTGTGCTCCGCAATGGGAGAGGCCACAACAGTGAGAGGCCCGCGTACGGCAAAAAAAAAAAAAGAAAAAAAATTCTTGAGCTGGCTGATATTAAGACTTACCTTTGGGCTTCCCTGGTGGCAGAGTGGATAACAATCTGCCTGCCAATGCAGGGGACACAGGTTCGATACCTGGTCCGGGAAGATCCCACATGCCATGGAGCAACTAAGCCCGTGCGCCACAACTACTGAGCCTGCACTCTAGAGCCCATGAGCCACAACTACTGAAGCCCGTGTGCCTTGAGCCCATGCTCCGCAACAAGAGAAGCCACCGCAATGAGAAGCCCGTGCACCGCAACAAAGAGTAGCCCCAGCTCGCCGCAACTGGAGAAAGCCCGTGCACAGCAACAAAGACCCAACACAGCCTTAGATAGATAGATAGATAGATAGATAGATAGATAGATAGATAGGTAAATTTATATATAAAAAAAGATGTCAGATTTTTGGTGGTTTTTTTTGGTACACGGGGCTCTCCCTGTTGTGGCCTCTCCCGTTGCGGAGGAGCACAGGCTCCGGACGTGCGGGCTCAGCGGCCATGGCTCATGGGCCCGGCTGCTCCGCGGCATGTGGGATCTTCCCAGACCGGGGCACGAACCCGTGTCCCCTGCATCAGCAGGCGGACTCTCAACCACTGCGCCACCAGGGAAGCCCATGAGTCAGATTTTTTAAAAATATTACTTTTTAAAACGTTGAAGTATAGTTGATTTACAGTATTGTGTTGGTTTCAGGTGTACGGCAAAGTGATTTGGTTATACACATATACATGTATATATCTATGTTCCTTTTTTAAAATTCTTTTCCATTATAGTTTATTATAAAATATTAAATCTAGTTCTCTATGCTGTACAGTAAAACCCTGTTTATCTAATTTATATATGGTAGTGTGCCTTTGTTAATCCCATACTCCCAATTTATCCCTCCCCCACCCTTCCCCTTTGGTAAAGTAAGTTACTTTTTAAACTTCACTTTCTATTATTCTTTTGTAATTCCATAGAAAATATCCCAGATACAGCAGGGGTTAGAGGGAGAATTCTCCAAGTATTTTCCCATTTATTTAAAGCCCTTAGGACTTTTAGCTGGGCTCAGATTATTCAATATGACTTTGAACAAGACTGCTACCCACACTGTGAGCTTAAACATTGCCACCAGGACTTCCCTGGTAGGCCAGTGGTTAAGACTTCACCTTCCAGGGTAGGAGGTGCGGGTTCACTCCCTGGTCGGGGAGCTAAGATCCCACATGCTAAGATCCCACATGCCTCAGGTTCAAAAACTCCAAAACATAAAACAGAAGCAGTATTGTAACAAATTCAATAAAGACCTTAAAAATGGTTCACATAAAAAAAAATCTTAAAAAAAAAAAAATTGGGGGCTTCCCTGGTGGCGCAGTGGTTGAGAGTCCACCTGCCGATGCAGGGGACGCGGGTTCGTGCCCCGGTCCGGGAGGATCCCACATACCACGGAGCGGCTGGGCCCGTGAGCCACGGCTGCTGAGCCTGCGCGTCTGGAGCCCGTGCTCCGCAACGGGAGAGGCAAGCCCCAACTGTTGTTGCTGTTGTTTTCAGTGTGGTTCTAACTGATTTATGTTTTAAAAGGATTGTTAACATAACCTCCTACCCCCTGTGTTGCTACCACATACTTGAATCTTCCTGCAATTGAATTATCCTTGCCTTTCCCTTAGCTCTCTTTTTAAAGGGGCGAGACCTGTTTTGCTAATATTTTGGAACCAACAAATAGACTAAATATCAAAAGTATATTTAGTGGAAGAAGTAGGAATTTAAGTGATGAAAGTGATAATTGTGGGGTAGTTGCAACACCTTTAGTAGTTTGCAGGGCTGAGCTGTGTGACCAAAGAGCACGTAGTGTAAGAGGAGATGGGTAGAGGTGATAGGGGCTATCCTCTGTGCTTTTAAATTGCAGAATACATCTTGAATGAAATTTATTTCCATTTCACTTATTACTTGGAAGAGTATGATTCCTTTTGCTATCGATACATAGAATCTTTTCAAGAGACCTGGTGTTATTTTTACCACCTTAAGTATACCAAAATTAAAATGTAGACTGTTATCTTTGGAAGTACAGAATTAATCTTTATTTTACAAATACACTGCTTTAATTTTTACAACAAACTTAAATGGCTGTCATACATGAGACGTTTTTCATTTTGATTTACTGAATCCACAGTAGATTTTCCAGTGAGTCATAGAGTAAAAATTCTTGGGGCTTCCCTGGTGGCACAGTGGTTAAGAATCCGCCTTCCAGTGCAGGGGACGCGGGTTCAAGCCCCGGTCCAGAAATATCCCACATGCCGTGGAGCACCTAACCCCATGTGCCACAACTCTGAGCCCATGTGCCACAACTTCTGAGCCCACGTTCCACAACTTCTGAGCCCACGTGGCACAACTACTGAAGCCCGTGCACCTAGAGCCCATGCTCTGCAACAAGAAGCCTGCACACCATAACAAAGAGTAGTTCCCGTTCGCCGTAACTAGAGAAAGCCCACACGCAGAAATGAAAACCCAACACAGCCAAAAATAAATAAATTTACAAAAGCAAACAAAAAACAAACATGGGGTTGTGAGAATCAACAACAACAACAAAAAAAAGTGTTTTTTAAAAAAATACAAAACAAACAGTAAAAATTCTAGGATTTCTGGCTTCCCTGGTGGTGCAGTGGTTAAGAATCTGCCTGCCAACACAGGGGCACGGGTTCGAGCCCTGGTCTGGGAAGATCCCACATGCCGCAGAGCAACTAAGCCCGTGTGGAGCAACTAAGCCTGTGTGCCACAACTACTGATCCTGTGCTCTAGAGCCCATGCACCACAACAAGAGAAGCCACCTCAGTAAGAAGCCCACGCACCTCAATGAAGAGCAGCCCCCACTTGTCACAACTAATGAAACCCCACGCACAGCAACGAAGACCCAACGCATCCAAAAATTAATTAATTAATTATTTTTTTTAATTCTAGGATTTCACTGTTCCTTTACTGGAAAGAAAAATGGAAAGAAAAATGCAGATTTAATTTTAATCCTTTTGTTTAGTTTCATTAATAGATAATGCCATGGTTAATAGCAGGAGCTGTGGAGTTAGACATGGGTTTGAATACAGACTGCTTCAGCCTTAGTTTGCTCTTTTATGCAATTGGAATAATATCTAGTTCATCCAAATCATGAAAATTAAATGAGATCATTTATGTTAAATTCTCAGTAAGTGCTTGTTTTAATTAATGATAGTAATGCCATACATCAGTAAAGCCATTTAAACTTTAACCTTTTGTAAAATTTGCTCAGTACTGGGAGTAGCAGTCCATTTCCCCATCACTCACAGGTCTGTATCTATTGCACGTTTTATATGATACAAATATAATTTTGGAACCCCATCGCCCCTCTCCCTCAAAAGGGGGAAGTTGATTGCAGACTGTCTTAAGAGTTTATGGGCATATCTCACATGCTGTTTCCTAAGATACTGAGGCTTTCTTATGGCGGTACACTGCAGGAAAACCAGCTTATTATACTGAGGTTCCTCTACTTTTTGATTGGTGTGCAAGATATACTTTCCTTAAT